CCAATCATGTTGATATCTTAGTGTCATGAAGGATAATTCTATTGAATTTGAAGTAGTTGAGAACATGAGTATATCTAGGAGTTTTAGGTCAGATAAATGTATAAAATATTTCATAGAATTCTGTCCTTTAGTACTGGCTCATGTGTTTTAGTTTGAACACAATTCAATTCAACAAATGTTTGTTGAATTTTAAATTCTCAGATACTTGAAGCAAAAGTACTTGGGGGAAGGGAAGGAAACACAAGAGAAGGGAGTCTGGCTTGAGTTATCTTTATAGCTCCATTAATCCTCTATACAATTTCACACATGTAGACATTCTCAGGTTCCTCAAACAGAAGGTGGTATGCCTCTGATCTGGGGATTGTGATAAGGGAAAGAAGGGCAGAGGATTGGTGATTGATAGTTCTAGAACCAGAGTCCAGAGACATAAACATAGTATTGCTAACCTCTCTGACTATGTAAATTTTCCATCCTTTTTCCCCCAAAGGAATATTCATTTGTCTCCACTGCTCAAAATTCTGATATGGTGTACTGTTAATCCTATATAATAATATGTATATATGGCCGTGTGACTCTGTTTTCAGTTGCTTTCTGAGTGATACATATAATGCATATGTTTCCCACAAGCAGATGGATTGATAAATGTTCATATGAGAATCTTAAATGTTATGCTCTGCTTGGCTTTATAAAATTTAAATTCATGGCACCAACTTTAGGCCTTATTTTATTTAAGAAGTGAGAAAATGCAGGAAAAAAGGAAGAATCAAATTGATAGTTCTTCAGGAACACATTTTTCAGCCCCACTTCTTCATCTGTATCCTCCAATATGCATACTTAGTAACAACAGAATGCCATTACATGATTCTTCAACATTAGTCTGAGTCCATTTTTTATCTTGCTGCTTCAGAGTTGAGCTTGAGTATAACACTTACATTGACTTCAAAGGCATTTTTGTACTCACAGGAGTGTTAAGGGTTTGAGAAGGGCACAGCAAGAGAAAAAATAGGCTTTGGTGCACGTTTCTTATTCCAAAAGAATATTTTCTACACTCAGTATTTCATTTGAATGCGTGCTTCCCCATAAAAAAGACACTCAAATATTTTGAATACAGTTTTAAAATTAAATTTTACAAATTACATACCTTATTCTAGTATCTCTAATTGATAGAGGAGGAAAAAAAAATATGATAGTTCAATCAGAAAGTGCGATTCTCCCCTTTCCTGCCTATCCTTTAGAAAGCTGGATAATCAAGTCAAATCATCCTGCAAACTCATATAGCCATTGCCACAAATGCTGTCTTTCTGCTGGAATGCTTGTGTGTGTGTGTTTGTTAGTATCAAGAGGGGTTAAAATAGAAGGCTTTTTTTAAAGTGTGGTGCTGCTTTTCAGAGGTGTTAGTGTTTTACTTATGTGGTTCTTAAAAGGTAGTACTGCATAAATAAAGCTTTGAACAATATGCATCTTTCCTCTCTTATTTTACCTCTACCTTAAATATGCTTCCAAATAGTCACAATTAATTGATATTTTTAGATTTGTAACAGAGAAAGTATATAGTAAGAAAATTAGTCTATGACTTTCATAAGCTTCTTGATATATGTTAATACTAATAAATTATATTTATATAACCCATTAAGTTTCAAGGTGAATTTCTTACAATAACCCTGTTGTAGGGATAGTTCATATTTTAGCATCTGCAGTTTGCAGATGAAAAAACTGACCCTTTGAAGTTGTGACATAATTATAGTCCTTTAAACTTTGCAAAATATCTTCCATATGTTATTTAATTTAATGCTTGCAGAAATATAATGTCAATACTAGTCTCCATATTATAGGTGAGGAAACTGAGGCTCAGAAAAGTTAAGTGACTCATGTATGATAACCCAAATAATAAAAATAATGGTTAAGACTACACAGTAGGGCTCTTGAGTATAAGTATAGTAATCTATTCATGATTTCATGTTACTTTGCACCTTTTACTGAAATGAAATAATGTAAAGTATGGTACAACACTTTATCATACTTTACGTTATTTCATTTCAGTAAAAGTTTCCTCTCTGAGTGTCTGAAAAAAAAGACACAATTCTAATGTCCCCTTTGTGAATTCCTAACTATGTGATCATTTCATTTCTGTCAAAAGTTAGACATCTCTGTTAGGAATTCAGCTATGTATTTAGGTTGCTATGTAATTCAAAATCCATTATTTTCAATATGCTGATTTTTCATCTCAAATTAGTCACAGTAATTTACAGAATAGAATATTCCTCCCCCACCCCACCTCATATCTGCAAAAGCATTGAGCAATTTCCAGTGTTGTGCTGATTTCATTATTGGCATCAGAATTCCAGTATTTCATTAAGATAAGGTGTTCCTTATTGGGACAAAAAAAGTGAATTTATTTCTTATGTAATGATATTTTCATTTCAACTTCAATAGAAAAATTGACGACTTAGATGAGAAGGTAGGGAAGTCAATTTGGAGGCCTTTTGGGGATTTGGGTTGTGAGGTCTGAGACATATTTTTTCATCTGACTGTTTTGATGTTCTTGAGAAGAAGTTTGTTATGCTATCTCTCTAGACATTAAACAGTTGTGTATTTTTTTAAAAAATAACTATTTCCTATTAGAAAAAAATGTTCTGGAATTTTCTATCATTGTTTTCTGTTTCATGATCCCCATATACTTAACAAATTACAATCTATAAATTACAGAATTATGACATTAAAGGAGTATCAAGAGAAGAAATGTTATTACAGATAGTAATGTTTGATCAGTCTCTTAAAACTTGGTGCTTTCTTGACAGAACGAGGGAAGGTTTAAAAATACTGTATGTGATTTGGCATGAGAAGATGGAATATATTTTGAAGTATGTGTGAAATGTTTCTGCCAACTATGTGATTTGACTACAACTAGGACTACAACTAAAAAAAAAAAAAAGGGGGTTTCCATTTGCACTTGGCCTTCACTCCCCAGACTGGTAGGAACTAGTAGCAAAGAGAAATTATATGTTGAGGCCTGAAGAGAAGGATTTAAATGTTCAGTATCTGCACACACTCACACACAGACATACACACACACACACATGCACACATATGCATACACATGTAAGTAAAACCTAAACATTATTGACTATCTTATTCAATAATTTATAATAAAATAAACCTTACTTTTATTCAACAAGAAATATATTTCAAGAAAAAGCATTTATTTCAAAAGAGACATAAAATCCACTAATACTAATGCACCTCTCCCTCTAATGAAGGACTTCAGGTTTCATTACAAATTGACTATTATTTTCTTCCTACTTAAATAAAACACATTATATATTTCTTCAGCCCAGGGAATGGTGGGATGAGGAATGCATAACAATATCATCTTAAAATATGTTTTTCTCACTTTACTTTGCAAACCAGGACCCCCCTCAGCTCCTCGGAATGCCATCTCAAATGTTAACGAAACTAGTGTCTTTCTGGAATGGATTCCTCCTGCTGACACTGGTGGAAGGAAAGATGTGTCATATTATATTGCATGCAAGAAGTGCAACTCCCATGCAGGTGTGTGTGAGGAGTGTGGCGGTCATGTCAGGTACCTCCCCCGTCAAATCGGCCTGAAAAACACCTCTGTCATGATGGTGGATCTCCTCGCTCACACAAACTATACCTTTGAGATTGAGGCAGTGAATGGAGTATCCGACTTGAGCCCAGGAACCCGGCAGTATGTGTCTGTAAATGTAACCACAAATCAAGCAGGTAAGTGGAACTCCCAAATCATGAGGTGCCCCAGGCCCCAATTCTGTTATACTTCTTTGTGCTGCGGTACTCTGCCTTGATTCGGGAAGAGGGCTTTCAAGCACAGGCTAATAGGCTGCTCAGGCCTAAACCATCACATACTTTCTAGTGTTTTCTGTGAGTTCTGCAATCTCATATACTAAATCCCCCAGCACCAACAATCACATGAGATGAGGCAAGGAACTTTGTTTTATTTTGTTTTTCTTTCCCACTTTTAAAATTCTTTCTTTAAAATATTCATGACAGTGTTTTGATTTCAGGCATTTTTTTTCACCCAATGAAATGTGAATGGCAAAAACTGGCAGCTTACTCCATGTTGAAGTAATAGTTTGTCTTTTTTGCTTTTGTTAATTAGGCATTTGCTGGAGAGCTATAAAATGTAGGGGACCTTGTTTTGCACATTAGTTCCACTTTATTTACATTTTAACATTTCCTTTTTGTTGCTGTTGTTTTTTTAATTATAAAATGAGTTGTATGTAAAAATCTTTTCTTTACCGAAACCCTTTCTGGAAATTAAGATGACTGAACTAATACACAAATCTCAAAAAATATACCTCCCCCTTATTTTGTTAAGTAGGAAATGGTATTCGAGTTACTCCTACAACTGTTATGCCTTTACTTTCTTTTTCACTTCTTTTCATAAGTGAAAGGTTTATTTAAGGGCTTCTTTCTTTTAGTAAGAAGAGGTAGATCAGATAATGTGCATTCATTCATCCCAACCTATACAGAGTTACACACAAAATATGTTAAATAGTGTTACCTTTATGTTTGTTTTTGGTTGATTGTTGTCTAAAACAGTTTATTAAGACAGAATTTCAAGGGACTAAAGAATTATGGCCCCCAACTCTCCTCATTCTTAAAGAACTCCCTCATTCCATTTCTAGTATTTAGCCTTTCAATCTCTCATTGGTCTGGAAAAGGATCCCATGACTGTTCATGAAACATAAGAATGTTTGACTGAGCAACACCATGTTTAGTTGGCATAATATTAACCTATGTTTGAGGTTTTAAAATCACTAGGGAAGTTAGTTTGGATATGTCAGGTAAACCATGTCGCTCTCTCTTGAAGAAAAGAAAATCCTGAGTGCTCACTTACTTCTGATTGATGTAATTAAAGCAAGCTTGTAAGAGTAGCAAAGATGATGTCAAATGACAACTGTGAAGGCACCTATTTGATTCCGCACAGCAGCTGTTCTTTGCTTCATAGGATTTACCTTCTCTATTATGCAGCTAGTTTTTTTTTTTTCATTCTAACTGGAAAAAACAATGTATGTGTCTCCAAATTGTATGGTTTAGCTATTTCTTCCCCTTAATTTTATTCTGCAATGGTCAGGTTGTCAACAGGCATAAATAAGGATAGGATGCACAAACACACAAAAAGACAACTCCTTCTATATTCTGAGCTGCCATTGTCATCAAGTACCTGTCCTGATAAGAACACTAGAAAACTAAATAGTCTGTGATTCATTGTTAATTTTATAAAAATTCCAAGTCCAATTTTGAATTCCATTTGAGTTTACCAGTAATAATGTAGAAAATTCACTTTCCACAATGGAAGGGAAAAATATTCTATAAATTCTTCTCCTTCTCTTTCTTTCTCCTCCTCCTTCTCCTTTTTCTTCTTCTCCTCTTTCTTCTTCTCTTTCTCCTTCTTCTTCTTCTGATATATCTACTTTTTGAAAATTTTTTTTTTAAACAACCTGGATGTGGGGAATATTATTTGTTCATTTCAGTAGCAGATTTGATTAATATTTGAGCAGCAGATTTGATTAAATCACATTTGATTTCATTTTCAATGGCATATCCAGATCCCGAAGTTTGTGCTCTTCAACCCCAAGATTTATTTAAGCAAGAAAAGTTAGAATGTTCATCTAGCTGATCAGGATATAGCTATCATTTGGATTTTTTTATTTCTGAACCTATGACTTAATCATTTTAGAAAACTCCAGGTAAGTCAAAACCCAGATAATATAAGCTATGTACCTACCTCACAGGGTTATTGTGAGAATCAAATATTTGTAAATCATTTACCATAGTACTTAGCATGAGTTGGACATATAATAAATGCTTGTTTCCTCCTCTCTTTTCCCCCTCCCCACCAAATAGTTATCTGAAAACATTAAGTGACTTCCCCTGGGGTATTAGCCAGTGAGGAGAAGAGGCAGGTCCTAAAACCAGCCTTGCTTGACTCCAGTTGCATTTCTGTAGCCACTAACTACATTGCTCCTTAGGGGAGCACAGAATCATAGGTATTGGGTTGTAAGGAATCTCAAAGACTATTTAGTCACACTTTTTTTTTGTAGTATGGAAACCCAAAACTAGAAAACTTAAGTGAGTTATACAAGACTCGAAAGTTCATAGATTTGAACCTTGAGCATCTGATATCCAAATTCAGTGGTATTGTCCCACTGTACCATATATGTTTACCACTATTTAATTATAAAAATGTACGATATGGTTTTGTTGGCTTTAGGTTTCAAATTTCTTAGGATAAATATATCAGAAGCTGTAACCGTTTTTTTGTTTTGTTTTATTTTTTTTGTTTTTTTGGTCCAGGGAACAAGCTTCATAAAGCGCTAGGGAAAACTTCACATTATAAGTAGGTCAGGTAGCCTCTGAACCAAACCAATTTTTTAAAAGAAATTCAGTGTGGAGGGAAGTTGGAGTGCAGAAATGGGGAAAGGAGTGAGGGGATCCGAGGATATTACTCCTAGTCTGAGGAAGCCCAGGGAAACAATGAAGCCCTCTTCTAGAGGAGGTTAACTTACATGTTGGACAGCAGTGAATCAAAGAAGTGAGCGACATAGTGTCTTCTTATTGTTACTATAATGTGAGGACTTTAAATGAACTAATTACGGAATATCTATAGAATTCCAGTTACATAATAGTGAAGTATGCTTCCTAGTATGTAAGGAACTGCCTTTCATCATTATTCTCCAAGAAGCAACTCCCCAGGATCCTCCATGTATAGAGATTGTATTCTCTGAACAGAGCAATGGGATCTGGTAATGTACAGGATACTCATTACTAACTAGTATAAGTATTTTCTAAATTTTGGAGCCCCGAGGCAAAACTCTAGTATTCCCACTCTAGTTTGCATGAAAAACCTACTGACAAGAGAGACCTAACACAAAAAACTTTCTCAGAGTTCAGCTATCCCAAATGGCTGCCTAATTCACCTCAAATGAACAACATATGTGTGTGTATACACACATATATATACATATATAAACATGTACACACATACATATGTATATATACATATTACATGTATATATACACATATACACACATATACATATATGTATACAAATACATATATATGGAATATTGCTGTCAAAATTAATTCTGCTCTAATGGCTAATTACTCATCACTATTACAGTGATGAGTATTACTATTACACTATTACACTATTTCTTTATTTTTTTTCTTTTTCATTTCAGAACCAAAGAAAAACAAAAAAAAAGTGCAAGTTGAAAAAAAGTTACCCATACCAGATTTTTTTTGTGTCTATATCATTTTTGGTGGAAATATATGTCGTTGGTTTCAGATATCATTAAGTATTGTTTCCTGGTTGGTGTGGGGGGCATTGTTTCTTTCTCAAGTACTTCGTTTTAATTTGTTAGCTGGCAATAGTATTTGGGCTAGCATTTTCAGGTTAATATGATTTTCCCTCCTGATAGCAAGGCATGTGTGAACAGTATAGGTTCAAAATTAGATTTGAAAGTACAAGAAGAGGAATAGATGGTTCTGTGTGCAAGATGAAAAATATTGCATTAAAGTGGGAGCAGGAATTGATTAGCAAACCCTAGCTGATCAGCCTATAAAATGTAATAATGATTTCCTGCCGAGGGTGAGTGATTAAATGATTAATTTATGGATGTTTATACAGTATTTAAAGCATTTCCCCCTCCATGATATCATTACAGAGTCTGACATCTTACTTTTGTGAAAAACTGACTGAATACAAATGGCAGTTTTTGCATGTGATTTCATATTAATTTGAACTACAAATTGTGAGGGAAAACAAAGTGCTAGAGTTTGTTGTTATTGCTGTTGTTGTTGTTGTTGTTCCCTAAAAATGTAGCCTCCCTGAGAAAAGAGTGAAGGCTCCCTGAAGTCTTTTTGAAGATTTTTTTTTCAGATTAAGACACACAATGATAAATGAACACAGACAAAATAAACAATTATATGAACATAAATAGTATCTGCCTCTAACAAAGGAGAAGAATAATACCTACCCTTAAGATTTAGTTCCAGTCTCTCAATCTATGCTTTTAGAATAAGATGGGGAGATATGGACACAGTTAGGTGGGCAGTAGTTATTTCAGAAGATAAAGTGTGGTGCCTGGAGTCAGGGAGAACAAAGTTCAAACATGGCCTCAGACATATATTAGTTGTGTGAACCTGGTCAAGACATTTAACCTCTGTTTTCTCATCTATAAAATGGGGATAATAACAGCACCTACCTCTCAAGGTTATTGTGAGGATCAAATAAGATAATAATTGCAAAACACTTAGCATAGAACAAAGAACTTAGCATAGAATATGCCTGGAACATAGTAATCACTATATAAATGTTAGTTATTATTAGATGTTATCATTTTGTTATTATTATTATTATTACATAGAATCAGAAGTATTTGAATAATGGAACATCAAGAGGTTGGTCTTTGGAAATTTTGAGTGAAAGCCACAGTGCAATTTCCTCATGGTCCTATACTGTTTAACACTTTCATCATTAATTAGGAGAATGGCATATTTAGCAAATTTTTAGATGACAACAAAGCCGTAAGAAATAGGGAACACAATAAAAGAAAAAGTCAGGTTAGAACATTGGGTTAAATCTTAATCTTGATAAGGATAAATGTATAGTCCTGTATGTTTTAAGAGATCTATTTCATCAGTATAAATTGACAGAGCATGGTTAAATAAGAGCTCACCTAAGAAAAATCTGTGG